TGACCATCGGTGGCACAGCAGCCGGACGCATCACCATGGAGCTGAGGGCAGACGTTGCCCCAAAGACTGCGGAGAATTTCCGCGAACTGTGCACTGGTGAGAAGGGCACAGGAAAGTCTGGAAAGGCACTTCATTTCAAGGGCAGCGCCTTCCACCGCGTGATCCCGGACTTCATGTGCCAGGGCGGTGACTTCACGGCTGGGAACGGAACCGGCGGCGAGTCCATCTATGGCAGCAAGTTTCCAGATGAGAACTTTACCCTGAAGCACACCGGCCCTGGTATCCTGTCCATGGCCAACGCCGGTCCCAACACCAACGGCTCGCAGTTCTTCTTGTGCACAGTGAAGACGCAGTGGCTGGACGGCAAGCATGTGGTCTTTGGCTCTGTGACTGACGGCATGGATGTCGTGAAGAAGATCGAGGCAGTGGGATCCCAGTCCGGAAAGACCTCCAAGCCCGTCGTCATCGCCGACTGCGGGCAGCTCTGATGGGATGGATGAGAGTCGGAGCCTTCGGGCAGGCGGTCGACGTTTTGGGCAGCTCAGTCGATGTACCTTGCTGCCTGGTCGACCAGATATATCTTGACGCTTGCGAAACTTTTGTATGAGGCAAGTATGAAGCGTGGATTTGCTCAAGGATTGCGGCCAAAAGTCGCCATATGCTCACGAAGAAGCTTGTAGCTTTATGTACTGCAGTAGCTTCACATCGCGCTCAGCATTGACAGGACACAGCACCTGTGAGGCATACTGCACAGAGAGAGATAGCCAGAGCCAGTTTTCGAGCCTGTTGACTCCTGCAAGGCAGCAGCATTCGAGGCTCGAGCTTTGTTGGGACGCAACCGGTACTATCGCCATGGCAAAGCCAGTTGTGTTTTTCGTGCTGCCCTTACAGTCACATCACATATGAGAGCCCACGGAGTGTATGTGTCTAACCAGTCTGCGGGTTGGCAAATGCAGTCACACGTCTGCATCGAGTAAGCCCACTGCACAACACGTTGTCAGGATATGTCCATTGGTGGAACGCCTGCTGGCCGAATCACCATGGAGCTGCGTGCAGACGTTGCCCCCAAAACTGCGGAGAATTTCCGCGCACTGTGCACTGGTGAGAAGGGCACGGGAAAGTCTGGAAAGCCGCTTCATTTCAAGGGCAGCGCCTTCCACCGTGTGATCCCGGACTTCATGTGCCAGGGTGGTGACTTCACGGCTGGGAACGGAACCGGCGGCGAGTCCATCTATGGCAGCAAGTTTGCGGATGAGAACTTTACCCTAAAGCACACCGGCCCTGGTATCCTGTCCATGGCCAACGCCGGTCCCAACACCAACGGCTCGCAGTTCTTCTTGTGCACAGTGAAGACGCAGTGGCTGGACGGCAAGCATGTGGTCTTTGGCTCTGTGACTGACGGCATGGATGTCGTGAAGAAGATCGAGGCAGTGGGATCCCAGTCCGGAAAGACCTCCAAGCCCGTCGTCATCGCCGACTGCGGACAGTTGGCATAGGAAGTTTTGTATGCAGTTTTGGTCGCCTCGGCAAGGACCGCAGTTTTGTGACGGTGCAACCTAACACTCTTTTGCACACTCAGCTTGAAAAGTGAGCGGCATGTTTTTTTTGGAGTGGTAGTTTGTTGGATGTGCTTCAAACACAGCAAGGCTCATCAGCAGCAGCAAGTGCCCCTGAATGACATGGGTGTGGCGACCTCGGTGGGCTCGGGTGTGCCCGGAGCGGAGGTAGCATCCGCAGCCATGCCGTGCTTTCAGGTTATGCCCGGTAGCAGAGGGGTGGATCCTGCCGCACATGTGGCAGTCTCAGTACGACCAGATATCACTGAAAGCTTAGTATGCTTCTTTTTGACCTCGCCCTCCTTGATTTGGACCCGTCCCGTGTCATGGGCAGTCCTGAGCACATGAGCTGAGCCTTTGAAACAATCACTTCTGGTCTCAGTCTTTACCTGACAGAAGCGAAGCAAACACCTTATAGGGTTCTTGACCTTTATATCAGTGACTGCATTGCATGGGTTTCGCCTTAGTCTGGATTGTGGTGCACTTACAGTGCCACTGTCATGTTCGTCATGACGCAGGGCTAGGGCGAGGGCGAATTGAAATAATTCTCAGCAGCAGGCATGGCGACCATCACAAGAAGCACATGCACGCGCACGGAATGCCCCGACGGCAGCTGCAGTGGAGGCTGTCCGCACAGAGTGAAGTTGCGGCTGCTGTGACGAAGGTGGTTAACTTGATTTGCCCTGCTGAACTCTTCAATCCTTCGTGGCGTCGTGCTCAGGCTCCCCGCGTGGCGCCGAGCAGCAACCAGGCAAGCCCGTTCGGAGATGCTTGTACTCGAGAGGTTTCTGCAGCACCGCTGTCAGGGTGCCTTCGTTGGCTGGAAGTCAAACTGAGGAACATGTGACCCATGCCGTGGTAGATGCAGAGCCCGGATCGGAATGAGTATTTTTTGGGACTGCGGCAGTCTCAACTTTGCATCTACAATGCAAATGATGCTCAGCAAGTGTGAGCCTGCATGTGTTTCGCTTGATGTACAGAGTCATGCCATGTGGTGCCGTTGTGCCATACTAGCAAGAAAGTCTGCCTGACTGCAAAGTAAAAGTTGCCAACTGGAACGTGCAGTGCAGCTGACGTGATGTGTTGGAACTGGAGCTGCAAAGTATGAATCAGCTGCATTGCTGCACAGACACTGTACTGGTGCACCAAAGACTAAGCCGAACAGCGAAAACAGAGCGAGCTGTGACAGCTGAGCAGCTTCAGAGTGCGATTTGCGGCGCCCGGAACCGCGAGTTTTCTGGACTGCTGGAAGAGGTTCAAGATCCCGTGATTTGACTCAGCACTCGTCAGCCTAGCCCCCGACGCCATAGCCTGGAACCTCCACTCTCCACCCAGCCCAGTCGTGTATGACAGCTGATAGCTGGTGGCATAGTCGGAAGAGTCGGACATTCATGCACCGGCTTGCAACGTTCTGGAAGTGCACCCCGACAGGACGCAGAAGCGGTCGACTTTTCCTGATGTTATGTACACCAGAGCCAAGTGCGCAGCGCAGGAATCGAATCTGAGCTGCGACCATGGGTGTGGGCCTTGAGTCTTTGTTTGGATGTGAACGGCATCTCAGCAGGGCTATCATAAAATCCTTGATTCTGTTAGGGGTGTAGCAACCGTGAAGTTCACTGCACTGCACGTGCCGAGGTAAGAATCAGCACAGCAAGGACATGCTCCACCTGCGGCCTGGGCCTTCTTTTCGTGGGTCCCGATTCAGTTGTCTTACCACGCACATTCAGGCCTACAGAGTGGGCGCAGGATGGAAGGGGCTTCAAGGCTGCTGTTCTGGCTACGCGACGGCAAGTTTCAGCATTCAGCCGTGCGCATGCGAGGCAACAAGATGGACTCCATTTTCAAAACTACCTCTTAACTGTTGGTGCCTTACTTTAGACCAGTGGGTGGATGCTCCCTGCTAGCTTCAAAGCGTTCTGAAAAAGCGATAGATGCCTGAGGCTGCTCTTTGTCCTTGCAGCCGTTCGACAAACCGGTCGGGAGCCCTCTATTGAGACATCAACTTGGCTGCGGCCAAACCTTTCAAACACAGGTCGCAACACGGGACGGGTCGGTCTTTGAGATCACCTACATCCTGAAGTGACCCGATCGGCTGTGCTTCTTGAATTGTCCACGACGTCCGGTGCCCGATCCAACTCCTTTTGATTCGAGTCGGATCAAGGTACATTAAGCGGTTTGGCAAGCATCCAGTGCATGGTGGCAAGCTAGAAGTGAAAGAGCTCATACCACTGCCGGGGTCTTGGCATGCGAACATGCCCGGCGCTCTTCTTACAGTGTCTGTTCCCTGTTTGCCATGCCCATCAACTCCTTAACACATCTCCAGTGCCACACGTGCTGTAATGTCTCGAGAAGCGCTTGTCACAAATCTGCTCCCAGCACCAATCGGTCTCCCAGCACCCAGCATGCTGGAACACTGTATCTGGAGCATTACTCTGGCCGCACAGGTCCACTTGGCAGAATCGTCAGTCGTGCCTTTGTCAAGCTACTATGCCGTCGAGTGACACAAGAGCCATGCTGGCAGCACAAATACCACTCTGGTTCTTCGGTTGCGCCTGCTGCAAGATCTGCGAGTCTACTGCCTGTCTCGTGGGTTGCAGTTACAAGACACTGGCCGTGCTGTAAATCCAGAAAGCTTCAAAGCTTGTCTTAGCCTGCAGCCGGACGTTTTTGACAAGTTAAGACCAGCCAGGCACTTTCACAAGAATGCACAGGGCAATCTCCACTGCCCGGTTACCTTCAAGGTGTGGGCCGGTCTCCTGCCACGGATCATTCAACAGGGTTGCCCATTGGCGCAGGTGTTGGGCAACAACACTCCGGTTTGTGCGAACGTCAAGCTCGGAGCAGAGTTGTTGAACCACCTGTTCCTTCGGGAAATGCTTTTTAACTTGTAGGGTTCGACAGCACTCGACTCGGGGTGTTGTCAACTCCCAGGTCCGGGCATGTCTACTGCTTGGAAGCGGTGCTGGAGCTCAACAAGAAGAACAAGAACTGGCCGGGACCATACAGTGCTTGTCATTCCGTCCCGCATGCCGTAGTGCGTGATGTGACCATGAGCCAGAATCGCTCTGCATGGCATAGGAAGGATCTGATGACCGGGCAGCCCTTCGCGTGGACGGACATCGCACCGTCCCTGGCAGAAGCGACTGGCGTAGATGGCTGGTAGGGATTCCTGCCGCCAAAGCTCAGATAATGCTTCAAGATCCCGACAAGATCGAGGCTGTCACGCTTGGAAGATTGCTTAAGCAAACACCGACAGCCGTCGCAGGGACGCGAAGTGTCCAAGTTCTACTTCATTGTGATGGGACAGCAGGCAGCTGCGTTGCCGAGCCGGGCAGCATGGAATTCGGCAAGCGCAAGTTGCAGCAAAGCGCAGGACGAAGTGGTCCGTGAGATCACCAACCCTGAGAGCAAAGCGATTCGGTCGAATGTTCTACTCTGCAGCGAAGAAGAAACCGAGCAACGTGTCAAGGCATCTTTGCAAACGGATGACAAGATCCGTCCAAATGCCGTAGCCAGCCTAGCACAATGGCATGACAAGTGATACGTCTTCCTTGCGGAGCTGACTGCGAAGAGACTTAGGCAGTCGCGCGCATCTTCGAGGAGAAGGAACGCCTAGCCGAAAAGAAGGCGCAGGAGGTGCAGCCGCAAGTCCTTATGCAACCGAAAACAGTTCCGAGCATCTCGGTAGTGCCAGGAAGCCGCAAAGGAGGCAGCCGATCCCGAAGCAGCAGCTGCTGCCGGGACCTGACCACAGCAACCTGGTACCTCTTAGCTAAAGAACTTGGTGTACTTTGCCAGGCAAAAGCCGCAGCTGCCGAGGCTAAAGCTAAAGCACAGGAGTTGGAAGAGGCCCTTGTGACCGACTTATGTTGGTATTTCGGTGTCGAAGTTGGTAATCAGAAGTAGCAGAGATGGTGGCAGTTGCTTGTACTGCTTGGTGCCTTTTCTTCGTCTCATGCGGGAGGGCAGACTTGCCTGACATTTTCATATGCATGCGTCCATGGCTAAATGCATCGCAAACTTTATTTTCAAATCGCGATTGCTGCAAAGTTTCGATTGGAGGTTGGGTTCGCATTTAATAGACCCCTTTCCCAGAAAGCTGATCCAAACAAAGCCAGGCGGAAGTTGTGCAAGCCAACGGCAAAGCGTCTGACAATTGTTGAGAACCTTTCCACGTGTCAGGCAAGCAACCCAACGCTCGTGCCAAGAGGAAGTTGCCATATGTCGATATTTACATCTATATCTATATCTATATCTGTATCTGTTTCTGTATCTATCTCTATATCTATAACCATATCTATAACTACATGTAACCCTATCTATATCCATGTTTGTATCTCCCTCTCTATACCTATATCTGTATCTATAACTATAACTCTGTCTATAACTGTATCTATATCTGTATTTAAACCCCTGTTTATATTTATATCTACAACCATGTGTATCTATAACTGTATCTATATCTCTATTTATCTCTCTGTCTATATCAATATCTATATCTGTATATTTACCCATATCTGTATCTATAACTATATCTACGTCTATGTCTAATCTATATCTATACCGATATCTATATCTATCACTATGTCTATAATTATATCTACACCCAAGAGTTTCTATTTAGCCTCAGGGGTGGTCACCCGTGATAATTTCCAGATAGGGTTTCAATACGATTTGGATACGATCTGAGGATAGGATCGTTCTATCGGGCTATGGCATCGATACGGTTCAGATAGAGGGCCCGATAGGGTTTGGATACGTTTTGGGTAGGGATTTGCATAGGGGTTCTAATACGAGTTCCAATAGAGGTTCCAATACGGGTCCCAATACAGGTTCCAATACAGATTCCAATACGATCAAATAGACAGTTGCATATCATATTTGCAATCCGGAAGCCGATTTTGGGCTGCTTTCCAAGGAAAAATTCGGGGCTTGGAGAGGGGTTTGGATAGGGTTTGGATACGATTCCCCTCCCGCCAGGGGAGGCCCTTGTCTCAGAGCTCCGGAAGCCGCTTTTGGGCTCCTTTCCAACAAAAAAAATAGGGGCTTGAATGGGGTTTGGATCGGGGTTTGGATACGATTCCCTTCTCGCCTGGGGGGGCCGCTGTCTCAGAGGTCGGAGTTCCCGAAGCCGATTTTGGGCTCCTTTCAAAGGAAAAATAGGGGTTGGAATGGGTGTTTGGATAGGGGTTTGGATACGATTTGGATACGATTCTCCTGCGTGGGGGAGACCCCTGTCTCATAGCTCCGGAAGCCGATTTTGGGCTCCTTTCCAAGAAAAAATAGGGTTTGGATAAGGGTTTGGATACGATTCCCCTCCCTTTGTACTCTCGGATGCGAATCTGGCCGAAAGGCGTTGTACCCGGAATCGTGATAGAAGCCGTATTCGAAACCGTATTGGAACCCTTACTGAAATCGTATCGAGTTCGTATTGCTTCTGGACGAGAGCGCATCGCCCCGTATCAAACTCGTATCCGCATCGTATCAGAACTGTATCTCCCGAAATGCGGAATACGCCAATCCTACCCGCGTATTCCTACCCCTATCCAAACCCTAAACCAAAAATAATCCTCGATCGGGCCCTGCGGCTGAACTAGAAGCTCTTGGATCTTGACCTATATCTGTATCTATAATTATAACAATGTCTATAGCTGAATCTTTCTGCATAGTTATATTAAAAGGTTTTCCATGTTTGTGGATATTTACACCTATATCTATATCTTAGACAACGTCTATGTGGTCGTGGTGTGCCCAGACTGTATAGAACCTTTCTACGTCTGATGGGTGTGACCCACCCATCAGCCAGGCGAAAGAAACACCGGGAAGTGTTCCGGACGATGCGAGAAAACGCGTTTATTTTTTCGATTAGTGTGCTCCTGTTGTCCTTTCCGGGAGCAACCTTTTGACTGGTAGGGTCTATGGTTCCGGGTTTAAGGTCCATATGGTTTTGGCTTCAATGGTTAGTCCCTTTCAGCGATGCCTTGCCTTGCCGATCCAAAATGGAGTTTAGAGAACTACCCACATGTTGGGCATGTCTGTTAGTGGTTGTGTGTCCCGCAGCTGCCAGCCCGGAATGCAAGTTTCGTAGAAGACGACGTCCGAAGGTAGGCATAGGCAGTCTCAACGCTCGGACGACTTTTTGAGACTTGGTTTGTTTTCTCGGATCTGTGCAGGCTCGGCAGAAAAGGAAGACGAACGAGCGTAGCGGACTCACAGCTTTGCTGCTTTTCTTCTGATGTCAGGATATTGACATGTTATGCAGACATATGCAGACATGAGAAACACAGCATGCAAGCCTTTCTCTAGCTGTGGTTCCTGCTTGGGTTGCTTCTCGGTTCAAGTGCTCGCACGACTGTCTTGCATCAGCGGTAGGCGACATTAGCAGTTAACATGAGAGTCGTGAACCGGGCAGATATTAGCGAATGTGTCCATGGAGCCGTGGGCAAGATCCACCCCAACATGTCTGGGGCAATTTCAAGGACCGTTGGGGCAGCCCCAACGCAGCTTCATAAGTGGACAGCCCCGCAGTGCACTACGTGTTGCAGGGGTACTACGACATCCGGAATCCCGGTGGGGAAGATCCTCGCCTTCCGTGGCTCTGCCGGACCATTGATTGGAGAGGCCAGGCGGAGCAAATGCTCCTGAGCGACAGAGTTGTGCGGACCTTGAGACGCGCAGGCAAGCAGGTGCTAGATCTGGGCTGCAACGCTGGTCAGATAACGCGAGCTGTTGCAGCAGAAGGTGCGAAACTTGCCCTGGGTGTGGCTTGGATGCATCAACTCGTGAAGCGAATTTAGGTTCTCATGTCTGAGTTGATTGCATGCTGCTGCCCGAGGTTGATATCGATGCCTCACTGATTGGGGAAGCGAGGCGTGCGACGTCGAAGACGCGGGCGGCCGGGAGGCAGCCGAATCATTGAAGCCGGGGAGCGTAGATCCAGAGCTCTCCTCCGTGGTTTTTGACGACTTTTGTTGAAGCTTGCAGGGTGCGATTTCGCTGTCGAGATCTTCTTCGTTTGAAGTTGCGGCGCAAGTATGATGTTGTATTGCTGCTGAGCACTTCCAAGTGGGTGCACCTGCAGCAACTTGGCGGCAGCCTCAACACTTCACAGCAAGGGGCTCTGTGAAAGCTGTCTCGCAGGCATGGAGATGAGGGCCTGAAGCAACTCTTCCGGCGCTGCAAGCGATGGCTCTGTCCAGGAGGTGTCCTGGTCCTCGAGCCACAGCCATGGAAAGCCTACAAGAAGGCCCGGAGCCCCCGGAGCGAGCCCGGCCCTTGCGATCACCTTGCCCAAGCTGGACTTCGAGGTGGCTGATGCGCACGCGGACGTCGAGAAGATCTGGGGTGAGATTCAGCTGAAACCAGGCAGCTTCGTCGACTTTTTGACGCAGGTTCGCTTTCGACTTCGCCCAGCAGCTGACTTGAGTTGTTTCCTTGGCTTGAGATGCTTGAGCAGGTCTTGGGATTTGACCGGGCCTACCGGTGGGCCTTCGTCGACCACATGCAGGAGTCCTTCCAAAGGATGTTGTACTTCTTTTGGAAACTCGTCGCAGACTACATGACACGGCGAAGCCTTTAGTGTGTCCTCGTTTCATCTCGTAGTTTCGTCTCTTCATGTTGCCTGCTTGCTATCCTTCGTAAAAGAGACATAACTGCTGCTCATGAGTTGTTGTGTCTAACAAACTCGTTGATGTAGGTTGAATTGGGACGCGGTTGTGAGCAGAAAGATGCTGAAACGAACTTTAAGGAAGCCGGGAAGATGTGCAAGAGGCAGCCCCGGCCTCGCATGAAGTTTCAATGAGCTGCGTGCTTTTGCGTTTTGGGCTTCGCCTGAGGAGCGTGCAGGCGCGGGCGCAGGCTGAGTAGGTCGAGGCCGAGCAGGCGCCTGGCAGCATGCGCGGGAAGCAGTGTGACCAGATCTCAACGGCTGGTGACAAAAGGAGAATGCGGGCTTGCATACCCTTGCCCATTTTCGTGCCTTCCAAGTTTAAGCCATCCTTAAAGCACTAGCTGCTAGCCGAGCTGCAGGGCGAGTAGCGGGTCTCGAGGCTACACATCCAATGAAGCCGCAGCTTCCTTCACCTCCACTGCCGCACCTTTGAAGCACCAGCCTCGGGTGCCCGGCTGACCGAAGCAAGCGAGCACGGCAACCGACTGAACCTGCTCTCGAACTGGACTTCGATTTGCTGCCTTCTGTTGTGCATCTTTTTTTTGAAGTGTGCTGATTGGCCCTACATTCCACTGCCATTAAGTTCACCCTGTTGCCCTCATTCGGATTAGGCAGAGTCTGCAAGAAACGGCATGTCTGACTCCCGCCGTCTTTCGTCTGACTGAGGTCGAAGAATGAGCTGCGCAAGCTCACAGAAGAAGAAGAGTTGCAGGACACGGGCGTGACGCAGGGAATCCTGGGCTTGCAGCGCTACAGATCTGTTCTGCCATGGTGCTGCCAAGATCCGTCGCGAGTGTGCGCAGTCGGGTGGCGGGTGTCTTGACAGGACATCTACGATCAGGCAGCTTGCTTTCTTGTGGAGTCCTTCAGGATGCTTCTGGCAGCGTGCAGGTTCGCAAGAAGAAGCAAAAGGGCTACGTGCTTCCGGCTGGTTCTGTATTTCGAGAGAGCTCTGCTGAGATCTCAAAGTTTCCAGGTCCGAATGGTCACCTCCCACGGTTGTCTCAACTTGGAGTTGCACTGTGACATTGTCCGCGGCTCAGCGGCCTCAAGTCCTGCTTCAAAAGGGGAAAGAAAGTTGCCGTTTCCACAGCTGCTGTGGGGGAGGGCCGGCAGGGGCAAAGTAGCCTTCACCGGTGCGGGGACTTTTGCAAAAGACTTTTGCAAAAAGGCTAAGGCGGCTGCCACGGCGTAGGCGGCCTTTTGTCTGCTGAGGCCCCGCGGACCTCGGACAACTTCTTACGCCTCTGCGAGAAGAGCTACTACGACAACACAGCGAGGGCCGAAGTGAGCGGACGTGCTTCTATGTGTCATGTCCTGTGGTTACTTGTGTGCAGATTTTCCACCGACTGATCCGGAATTTCATGCTGCAGGACAGCCATAGACAGTTGGGGCTTATGAGCATTCAAAATGTGGCACGCGAGTCCGGCTTTCTGACAGGGAGGCGATCCCACTGGCACCGGACGCGGTGGTGAGAGTGCATTCGAAGGCACAACCGTGGGATATTGATTTCCGGCTTCCGGCTTCGATTGGCTTCGTTTTGCATGCATTGCGGCCTGCCCTTGCTCCAAGCAAGACGACAAGCCTCCCAACCCAAACTAAGTGCGCAAACATAATTCAACTCGATGCCCCGACCTAAGTTGAGGAGTGTGAGTCGTTCTGTAGCCATGAGAACGTTGAGGCGGCAAGGGCTTCAAAGACGAGTTCGACTCTCGACTGGTTCACCAGGGACCCGGAGCTTCTCGGCTCTAGCGACGCCGGCCATCAGATGTTGTGTCTCTTCGATACTTGGCGAGCTTAAGGTTCTCAGCATGGCCAACAACGGCAAGAACACGAACAGGATGCTGCCTCTCGGTTTGGCCTGGTGTCTGTGGACCACATTGGGAATGGAGCAGGAGTCAATTCTTCGTCTCGCTCAAGTCCTGCGAACACCTGAACAACAAGCATTCGGTGTCAGGATCTGAGCAGCATGGCTCCCTAGAGTCCGCTAGAGGCGTTGGCTCCTTACAGACTGCCCAGCGCAGGTTTGGCCGAGTGGTGGGAGGTCTGAAGCTCTTGTCGGTGGCTTAACTCCTGGGGCTGCGGCGCAGAGTGCAACTGGATACTTGCTCGCAGGGAGGTCTTCAACAACTGGGAGACGGATCCAAAAGACAAGCCGGTGAAAGAGATCCAGCTCGTTCGGATGGAGGCTGGGCCTTCAGGCCGTTGATCCGTTGGCTTCCAATTCGGCTACAAAGGTCTTCAAGAATCCCTTCAAGGAAACAGTCGAGGCGATGAACAAGCCAAAAGTTGAAAAGGCCACGGAGTGGCACAAGTGCTTCCTTTGCCAGCCGAGAGTGTGCAGCTTGGTCCACTGGATCAGGTGGTTGATCCTGTGGCCACCTGGTTTAGTCCCTGCCCCAAGTGAGCGCACATCGAAGACTTCTGCAGATCATGATTTGAACAAGCCTTCGTGTGTCCATGTCGTTGTGACAAGACCAGCTTTTTTGCCGAAGTTGCCATGGGAGTGGCAAGCAGGTTCTAGCTTTGGGGCAGGGTCCGCTGGAGCTTTGCAACACAAAATTTTCTTTCTCGGTGCGTGTCATGCATTTGTGTGTGTGTGTGTGCGCGCACATGCGTGTATACACTCCCGAAAGCTTTGGTTAAGCTGCAAGCTTCAAGAAAGATTGGGGTCGAGTCCCAGCTGTCTACACACACACACTCTGCTCAACTCACCTCTCGAAAGGCCCCCACATGTGCTAAAAAACTGGGTGCCATTGGCGAATGTGTCGGGTTAGTGAGTGTGTGTGTGTGTGTGTGTGTGAACTTCCTTAGCAGCCCTAGCGCCTGGGAAAGGCGGGCCGCTCCTACATTGGCTGTAACAGCGCAGGGGGCTCTGGGAGCCTAACTGCGGCGAGATCCAACGAAGACGCCCAGTTTGCGCGTGTGAAGACAGGATGAACGCATCCTTGTGTACCTGCCAAAAGATGAAGGCTAGCCATCGGTAACCGTCGCCTTTGTGATACAGCAAACAACAACCCCGCCTCACCCCTCTTCTCTGCTTTCCTCTTGCTCTTGCCGAATTCCCATGTGCGAGTGTGTGTGTAGCGGCGTGAAACTACCACCTTTTTTTTTTTTTTGAAATTTGGCGGGCATCAACATGCTTTCACGGTGTTCTCGTTCTCGAACCCAGGCAATCGGAAAGATCCAATGCAAGGTCACAAGAACCGCCACTCCACAGAGGTGGGGCTCCGGTCAAGGTGTGTGTGCATGCTTGCAAGGGATCCCCTCTCTGCTTGAGGTGGGCAAGTACCTGGAGGAGGAGCTCCTACCGGGCGAAAAGCGGAAGAAGGACCTTGCGCTAGCTTCCTTTTCTTGCTTGCGATGAGCATCTAGGGGCGGCTCGACCGCCTTGCAGTTCGCATGGATTTAAGGAGATGTGGGGGCAGGACCCCGCCCCTGGCCCTACCCCCCCCGGAAGTTTCAGAGACCAAGTGCATTTGTCGAAAATTGGCAGGCAGCCTTCCCTCGTGCCAGGAAACTTCAGTGGTGGTAGACAGCAGGAACGCCTCCTAGAGTTGTACAGCTCACATCTCCTCGTCGGAGGATGTGCCTCAAAGCCTGTAAGGGTAAGGATCCCTGGCACAACTGTACCCTTTTTGTGGAAAGTTTCCACGGACTACGCAGCTATTTGCCATGCGCCCTTTACTTCGGCTCCGTGGGCTCTCCCAGGTCTGGGCCCAGGCTTGCGGCAGTGCGCAGGAGATGCCATCGGAAGAGTTGGAATACGCGAACATTGCACAGAAGCCGCGTCCCCAAAGAAGCCTGCCGTGTAGGTAAAAACGACTTCCCTTCATGAAGTGCAGGTCCAAGAAGGCCCGCACGGATTTCGACTTCTCCTTGTGGTGAGGGGCGCCCTAGTCGTCCTGCGTTTCACCTTCTCAAGACGAGGTTGTGCTTTGTGGCAACGTCCATGATTGCTCTATGCCGGAGCTTTGTCGGGCTTCCCCCGTCATTCGGCCTTGAGGTTTCAGGGTATTCCGGGCAGTTTTTTCCGCTCTAGTTCTTTGTGCTTCGCTTGGCGCTGTCTTGGTGGAGACTGTCTGTTTCTTCCACTGGCCTCGACCTGCCATTCAGTCTGCTCAACTATTAGCTCAACTCCTTTGGGCCTGACTGCAGGGTGTATGCTGCAGCTGTATTTTGGGCAAAGCCCCTCCCTTTACAGACACGCAAACTGGTGTAAGTGAATTCCAGCCTGAACATCTCCTGACGGTGTCCCTCGAGACTGCAGTTTTCAGCCCCTCTGTCCCTTCTTTCGCAAAGTGGGCACCATGGGCTCAACGACTTCCGCCGAGTCAAGAGGGCGCCACCCCCGGCTGCCATGAGACTGTGCAGCTGTGCCTGGGTAGTGCTGCGAATCTGAGGCAGTATTCAAAGATGAACAGGCAGACGCGGCTTATCGGCACTTTGATGGAATTCTATCTGATCAGGATCAATTTGCTTGAAAAAATCAGGACTTCGACTTCGAGTGTCGTTTGGCAGCCTCTGGACGCAAAGAAGAGCATGGCGCAATTGGAGGACCCGGGACTTTCGGATTCTTACAAGCTTGCTGATCACCCAGCGTTGCCCGAAACAGGGCAGCATGTCGCTCCACGCCTTGCTTTTGTGGGCCGCGGCCCCAGGGCTCCAGACGCTCAACATCTAGAAGAGACTGTGCCCACTCTCTTGGAAGATATGCAGATGCTTAAGGTACATGCTTCTTGTAGCGAGAGTTGTGTGACTGTGTGCGGGCAGGTTGGCATGCCGGTCTGCCTGGCAGTGCAGGCATCTGACAGTCTCATGCTTTCCCTTTTGGCAGTGACACGTCGCCAGAACTTGATCCCACCACTGCGACCAACTTGCGTAAGTGGCTTCAGCAACTGCCCGGACCTTCTTGTGGATCGCTTTTCATGGATGGTGCTCTGCTTCCGAGCTTTCATGTGCTCAGGGTCATTCTTGCTGCTGCTGTTGGTGGAGGCTCATCATGTCTACCAAGAGAGGTGATAGCCTCAGTGACCTCCCCGGATGTGCGAAACCCGATGCAGACGCAAACGACATACTACGAGTTTTGCTATCGTGAGCAGCCGTGAGCACCAGTCGAGCAAGTTGCAAACAAATCTCTAGCAGCTAGCACATTTGCCTTGGGTGGTTCAGCCATCTCTGCAGTCAAGAGGTATGCCTTGGCCTGGATCTGTGCCTCTGACTCGACGACAGATGCCGTGTTCACAGTCTCCAGGAAAGCTTGGACAGCTGTCCGCGATCTGATTACCCCGCCGGAGCTGTCGGTAATGAGGCCTGCAGAATTTCCAGTTGCTTCAAGATGCAGTATTAGACTCATTAGGCGTGCCGAAGCCTAGTTGTGCCTTCATATCCATCAGGCAGCTTGGAATTCTACGGATGCGACTGCGTCATGTCATCTTAGGCAGGGGTCGTCTGCAGACTTCGGACATCAGCGCGAACACGACTCGTCCACATCCCCCTCTGTTGCAGGTATCTTGGAGGATGTCGACCTGTACATGGTGCAGCTCTAAGTTAATTTTTTTGCCATGCCGGAGGATAACGTGCATGAACGCAGTGCAGTGACCTTAGGACTTTGCTTTTCCCTTCGTCGCACGTGCAGCCGGCATGGCTTGCACTCTGCCATACTGTGCCTTGCAATGATGCGAACACAATGGCTCCGCGTCCGCTTCCGCCACTGTGCGCCAGTCGCCTGCGACCGGGATGACCCGAGCAATCCAATGACCGAGCATTGGGCCGAAGCCTGGAGACAGGCCCGGAGGGGATTTTTGCTTGTGTGTGTCTATGTGTGTGTATATATATACACACATACATGTATGTATATGCATACAGTATGAACTAAGAAACTGTTAACGGCTAATCGCAAGCGGCCGTCGCTGCAGGTGCCCATCCTAGGCCACTTCTTAGCGAAGATTGTGCTTCGGGTCAGGCCCGGATGTGAACGGCAAAATTGTTCGGGACCGAAAGCTCATGCCGTTGCTTCCTTACAGGCTTTCAGCCTCTCAAGACAGGTACCAAGCCTGCGGCAAATTTGCCATCGCACACAGGTGCTAGTTGACATCAAATGCCACAACGACATCCTTCTCAGAGAGCTTGTGTTAGCATCATGTTTGCCAAATTGTCTCTGCTGCTGGCATTAAGAGCGGCTTCAGCGCAGGACGCAGGGCATGTGCAGCAGCTCTTACCGATTTCTGAGCTCTGAGCGACACAGGACGAGAGCGTCTTTGTGTACTTTGGTTCCGGATGTCCGGCCTTCAGCAGCCCTCTGTAGATGCTATTATAAGTCTGTTGCGCTTCTGCGAAAATTTCTGAGGCTTTTGGCACGTCCAGCACGCATTCATTGAGGCGGAAGCCAACATTTTGGGCCGCCCCCTGGCGAGTTTGCCAAGCTGAAGCCAAGTCTAGAGTCCAAGTACGTCTGACAAAAGCCGGGGGCGGCTACGATCAGAGACTGAGGCAACGCCTCAACCTACACGTCATTAACAGGCTGGAGCCCTCGGGTTTCTAAGGCCTGTTTTCGTCGTGTGAGAGCAGGCTATGCCGGCGGCAACAGCGTGAATGCAGATGGCAAAGCCTGCTACAATGACTATGCGCAGCTGGGCCACACAGAGGCCATGCCGTTTGTGCTCCAGACTTGTCGTGCCGGCTGGAGAGTTACCTGGGTCAGGTTGTTGGCCTTTCTATACCCTTGAGTGACATCTCTGCAAATCAGACGTTGAGACTTACATTGCTGCTCCATGGTCGTCATAAATGATGTTTTCACTCTTTCTACGGCTCGCAGGCCATGGTGCATGCTTTACCGGGACAGACAGCAGTGAACAACTTCCATCTGACTCACCCGATGTTCTTTTAAAGTTGCCTTCGTGCTGACATCAGGCACCCGTTGATTTGTATGCTTCAGTCTAGGCTGATGTTGGTCTTGTTGTCTTACAGGCAGCGGGTGCGCATCCTAGTTTGCATGCAATCGGAATGAGTTTGCACAATCATAGCTACACAAGATGATAGGTGGCAGGCAATTCCATGAAGCCGAAGCCCGAACAGCTCCATCCTGTGTTTTGAATAGTCTGGACATGAGAGTTCGAAAAGAGGAAGCAGATGCAAAGCTGGAATCATAGTGTTGTCAATCAGGACTCAACTGTCTTGCAGTACATTGCCTCCGGCACAACATGTATCGCTATGCGTATTGGACCACGCGGGCTGAAGACTGTGTCGCGTTATCGCGATGCGTGTCTTCCACCGGCTGTGTGGACCCTGTCATCGTATGTCAACCGGTACTACGTTTTGTTGATATGCTCCCTTTTGTAAGGATGTATGTGTGTGTGTGTATGTATGTATGTATCTATGTATATACGTATCTATGTGTCTATGTTTAAGTGATTTAAGTGTATACATGTATACTATAGTTGTATGTTTGTAGGTGTTCATGCATGCACGCATTGTGTACATACGTGCATACGTACAGGCAGGCATGCCTGCATGCATATAAACGAATAAATAAATAAGTAAATAAATAAGTAAATAAATAAGTAAATAAATAAGTAAACAAATAAATAAGTATAAATATAAGTATAAGTATAAATATAAATAAATATAAATATAAATATATATATATATATACACACATCCATACATATATCCATATATACATACACACACACATATATATATATACATATATATATATGTATATACATACATACATACATACATATGCATACTGCATATACATATCTAAATAGGGACATACATAAATACGCTCGGGCTTACTTTTCACGAACCCAACCGAACCTGAGCATAGAATGCCGGCGGTCGTTGTAGACTACGAAGGAATATCAAGCCAAGCAAACTGTTCCACGAAATGCAACCTAAAAGACCTAAAAGGATGCGGTACGTAAGGCCAGAACAGCAGAAGAGCAGCGGTACTCGGAATACCAGCATGCACGAAGCGGATCAGCGTCATTGTCCTCAGCATTCATCGCCATCACTCATTTTCATCTGTGCGTGCGATTCACGGGCACAAAGTCGCGAAGATTGCGCGAGAGTTCCAAAAAACGTCGACAGTTTACTATTACATACTGATTTGCACAAGGTTGCATCATTTTGCGTTTGCTGTGGGTCGGACGATAGCGCTAACAACGCAGTGCCTTTTGAAGCTGCACGTGAACCGTGCTTCGCAACTTCTCATCCTAGGCACGCTGCCCGATTTCGGAGCAGTCTTCTGGTCTCTCTTCGTGGGGAAAGACCGCGTGGATGTGATGGACATAGGCCACGGGCGCAGGACGGGTGCTGCCAATCGTGTCAGAAGCTGAGCAGGTGCTGATTACCGTGCTGCCATTGGTGTGCCTGGTGGCATCAGCTCCTCGCTGCTCCAGACGGTGAACGCGAGCCAAGCGAGCTTGGACCTCGGCTTAGGGGTACCATGCCAGCCAGTGCCGCAACGCACATTCCAAGGTCGCGCTCAGCGCGATGGCTGGTGGTTCGAACTCAGGGCACGCCGCAGTGTTGCGATTTTGCACCATTCACCCGGAGAGCGAGAGAGCGAGAGGGAGAGAGAGAGAGAGAGATCTGTTGCTCTATTTTGGAACTCATATGCCTCCATCGCCGCAACCAGCTCGTCGTCTGTGGGCCGTGGCGTGGGTGGGGCCTCATCGCCCGTGCTGGGAAGGCTCCCCGGCCATGCTCCGTCGTCAAAGGAGGACGCCACGGCCCCGCATCCGCTTGCGTTTGTGGTCCAAACAAAGATTGCCACCCTGTTCCCTCTTCAGTAGTTTGCGTGTCCACGTGGTCGTTGGCCGCCTGATTCGTCTGCGAGAGGACCATGCGAACTTGTTCACCTCCTTCTTTGACGAAGCCCAAGACGGCTCGGATGTCGCACATCACCCCCAGGCGTTGCTCATCATGGTCCCCCGCTCTGGGAGGTGGCTGTTTGCGGCCCCCTTCCGCCAGCGCCGTCATAACGGCCGGGCGCACAAAGTTGAGCATGCCCACTTCGTCCAGAGTCCAGGAGTTCTTCTGTTCTTCTGCGTACTCCAGCAGCGTGGCCACGAGGCAAGCCACTCAAGGTTCCCACGGCAACTGCGCCCACGGTGTTCCTAACCTATCTAACCTCTTCCAAGCCGGCAGTGAGTTGTTGCCCCTCTTGGCCCATCGTGGCATGGAGAAGGTCTCGCTCCCCCATGAAGGTCCTCGTAGATCGCGTGTTGGTGGGTTTCCTGCTCCGGAGACGCGCCGTCCATGTCCTGCAAGCTCATCCGGACGACGCCGATGTAGTTGAGCCGTCTTCGAGCACTCTGCTGGTGCTGCTCGTCCGCTGCGCTCTTTGTGGCGGCGTGCGGCTGTACCCGAGCCCACTCCTCCGCAGCGTCATCTTCGTCAAGGCCAGCCGTGGCACCCCAGTTCTCTCCAGGTTTGGTGGTCAAACTTGTCCCAGCCTTTTTGCTTGCACGCCGCTTGCACAGCAGCCTTGACGCGCGCCTCGTTTTCTGGTCACCTTGTCCATCGTGATAGGGCCACCTGAGCTCCTTTCTTCTCGTTCTCCTGCGTGACTCGCGGTTGTTTCGTGTGCGGGGGTGCGCAGTTAAGGTTACGGGTGTTGGCAGCTTGGCTAGGTGGATTCCCCTGCTCTGGTTGGCCGTGGCGGTGGTCGCCGTGGTTTGCCCCCGGCCGAGTGTGCTGGGACGGCCGCATTCTCTGGGCTTGAAGGCAGTTGCGATCGCGCTGTTGCGGCGTCGGACTGTACTGAAGGTGGCGGCTGCTAACAGCCCCAGTTTTCGAGACGCACAGGCATGTCCTGCCGGCTGGTCCGCTGCCGGGCTCTTCCGGTCGTTGCGTTGACAGTCTGACGTCGGGTAGGGTGTGCTTTGGCCTGCCCCCGTCGGCGGCAGATATGTCAACCGCACTGGTTCGGTGTGTGTAGGGCCGCCGATCACGGCCTGGCAGTTGCAGATATACTGTCCCCCGCTTGCAGGAGCTGCTGCAGTGGTAGTGGGGCTCCGTTCCCGACTATCTGGCAGTCGAGGGCCCCGGGCTCGAGGTCGCGTAGTTCCACGAAGCAACCGTTCAGGTCGATGGCTCTGCTATCAGAGCAGGGCACGGCACCGGACCTGCCCTCCGACAGCCTGTCGCTCTATTCTCGGCACTCTCCGCCCGGGCTCGAGGTCCTCACTGCTTTCTGGGGCTCGGACCTTGTAGGCACATTGCAACCAGTTATCCTAGGGGCCTTAGGGATTCTGCGAACGTCACATGCGAACCTACTGAAAGTGTGTGTTGCAGCTAGGTCAGAAGTGCCAAATACCTGTGCAGTTCGAGGTAGTACAGTTGTTACTTTCTTTGTGCCGGGCCCTACAGTGCGAGCCGAGTTTGGAGCGAGTGTAACATACATTTTCTAATTTCTGATTTACGGTGTGCGGGGGACTGTTGCAGCTCCAGACCCGATACACCGATACACTTCACCAATTGAGTGACAGTAGAGAAGACCCCGCAGGGGGCAGACGAGGGGAGAGGCGGGAGGATGCTACTTAAAGTACAGGCGGTTCAGGGGGTTTGTCAGGTGACCGCCTTGTTGCCTCAGCATTTTGTGGTATCTCGTGAACGCGGGCGGTAGTGCGTCCGCTATGCTCTTTTGGCTGTGTGGAAGAAGACAGAGCGCCCCTTGATACCCTAATTACCGGTCACACGATTGGCTTTTCAGCAACAAGCGGTGTCATTGATCTTCGACAAGCCCCCGTATAGCCGAGCCGACCGGGGGAAGCCGCCACTGGAGTTGTTAAAACCCTGCCGAGACCTGCAGGTGTGCGTCTGCGCGCGCGAGGGGGTAGGTGTCCGCCTGCCTCCTTTGTCGCGGTAGAGAGAGTGAGTTGTCGGAAATCTAAGGCAATCAGCCGCAGCATAGCCAGCAGCACAATCAAAGTGCAAGTAATCACTTGGGAACAAATGCTGGGCTGGCGGTTAAAGGGCTGCTTTTGTTCCCCATCTTTCTCGATCTTGGACATTCTGTTCGGAATCCTTGCCTTCACAGGAAGTATCTTGCCTCTCAGCATCACGGTTCGCAATCCTCTACTGCCCGAAGAAAGAAAGAGTGGGAGCTCGCACATGAGATTGAGACAGATTGGGCAGTGCATTCGGCGGAGCCGTGATTTGTCTGCTTGTTTGGATAAGCGTCGAGGCAGGCAATGGCGACGATCCTGACACCTTGGGCAAGGCAAGTGCTCTTTCTATGCCATGCTGAGCCGTGCAGAACTGCCAATTCCCAACTGGAACTCCCACTCAATCAACCAAGCGCTTGTTCTAGGCTCTCGTGTGGGTCTATGATACCGCCCTGTATCCATTCTACCAGGCAAGGGCAGCAAAGGCCTCGCACGGGACAGTCTTAGTCTTAGTCCTTTCGCCATTTGAAAGGCTGAAGTGTACCATCAATTTCACGACGACTTCCTCCCTGGTGGCAATTACCCACAGGAATACAACGAGCCACGTTCTTGGTTTTGAGAGTCCACCGGCTTGGAAGGGCGATCAATTCAACCTTTGACTCTGAGTCTCGTTCACGATCTCCGCGATGATGGCCGCCTGACTTCGACCGGCTGCCCTCGAGATCAGGCTGGAGGGCCTGGAGATGTGCCAATGTGTCTTGCCCTGACCGCCTCACAAAGCTGCGACTGTTTTGTTTCTTGAAGGCCTCAGCTGTGTCTGCCGCCCACCCGGTGGTGCTGTCCATCGTCTTGCTGTTCGCCGCCCCGTCCTCGATCTGGTTCACTGCAAATGGTTCCGTGTGCTAGACGCACTCCAAGGTGTACAGACACACACAATGACTGACGTGTAAGTGGAGAGTTGGCTCTGCCTTGGGATAGCGGATAGCTTACTATGGACAAGCCCAACCTGAGCCTGTAGTTCGTGGCCAAAACATGTTAGCGCCACTGAGTCGAACCAATGGCGCGGCATGGGCCAGCGATTTTGTTTTCGTGCTTCCAAGCACCCGGGGGCTTGGCAGTGTACAGTCTCAGCTACCCTTTCTTAGCAATTGTTTAAGCCCTTTTTGTTTGTGACAGTGGGCTTTGCGGGGAACCTGCAAGTCTACGCCGCTGGATGATCGCACCGGGGAACACTTGACCCCGCCGATCGTCGTTTTAGAAGTCGTTTGAGAGCTGTGGTGAAAATCATGGGCGAGTGTCTGGGCCATTTCTTGGGAGTTCCATCCTTTCTCCAGCTGGCAGGTTCTGGGGAGTGGCTTTCTTCTTCGCTGGCCTGAACGCTTGCGCCCTATAGTTCTCGTATCCAAGCCAATGTGTAACTCTGTTCCTTCAGGGGCTGAGGTCTGCGTGTTCCATGAGCCGCAGACTGCATTCACTGGACACAATGTTACATCGCAGTAATGAGGCATTCCTGGCCCACACGAAAAGCAGGGTGGTTGTAGCTTTAAGGCGGCGGCGAAGAACCGGATCCGTTTGATCCGTTTTCGAAAAAGACAGCTGCTGTCGCTCAAGGAGAGAAGCTTAGTTTAAAGCAGTTTGGCTTTCGGCGAAAGATGGCTTGGCAGACCATCTTTGGCTGCCCGTTCTTTGTCCTGCCTGTGCTTTGCCGTCACCGGCACATTAGGACACAAACGAGACTTTTGGAATAGGCTTCCTCATGCTTTCCTTTCCTAGCATTTTAAATCTTTGCATCCATTGAACAAATTTGTCATGTGCCAAGACGACGAGATTGCTGTTCTGCCTTTGTCAGGGCATCGATGTTGCTCAACCCCAACGCTATAATCTCTAATGCTTGAACTCTAGACAAAAAGTCGACCGAGGTTGCAGTTTGCGGTCTTCTTCGGCTTGCCTCAATGAGCCGTGATGTGGGAGACTGAGTTCTGCAGATTTGTTGTTGCTATTTTTTCAGCCACTGCCTTTACCTAAGGCTCGTTCCAGGGAGACGGAAACAAACAGGCAGGGACCACTCCATCCGAATTTGCGGTATACCACTGCGAAAAAAGCTCAGTTAGATGAGAGCTTGTCTTGCTGAAGCTCAGGCCGATGATCAAGTTCTTTTCGCGTGCACATGGACCAGTTCATGTGCAAGAAATCCTTTCGCCGAGGAATACAGGCGAGTTCCGCTTGTCTGGTTCCATTTACTTCATGTGGGTCGCGGGCTCAGTGCTTGGCTTTGGCTTCATGCGCTCCCGGAGTAGGATGTTCAAGAACTCCTTAGATCTTAAACCACTTAAGCTCCATAGAAACCTATAAGATACAACCAAGTAAAGCCTTCTAGCAATTCTAGCACACCCTGCACAACCCTATTTAACCGCTCTAACATATCCCTACACAAGCCTTTTACACACCCTACAAAACCATAAAGCAAGATTTGAACCACATTAAGACCCTTCGAAAGCGGCTTTGAAAGTCATACAACAGTCTTTCAAACACAACAAAGAGGAGGCAAGCTACGTAGAAACAACATTTACCGAAAAAGAAGGCTCGAGCTGCCGAGACGGCCATGATGCCCAGCGTTGCCGGGCTCTGCGAGGACTTGGCAAAGGGAAGCCATGCAACCCTCTCTCGGTTTAGGGCCGAGGGATGTAAGTCAAGATTTTTCGGTTTTTGGGTTTTTCAGTTCTAGGGTTTCAGGTTTCGGGAGTAGGTTTTGGTTCTACGTTTAGGGTTGGAGCTTTGGGATCTTTAGGGTTTAGGCTTAGGGTTTGGGTGACTCATGGCTTAGAGCTAAGGGTACACTTGTGGTTTAGACACTTGTTGAACTCTGCAGATGGGAGGGGTGGCCGCCACGACTTGGCTCGAGAGAGAGGAATGCTTTCTCATGCCAAACCACTGCATGTTCTTTTCGAGTGGTCGCTTCAGGGGTGTCTGTTGTGTAGAGGATGCAGCAGCACGGAACGAACGGCGCAACCTGGGCACCTGCAGCAATGACCGGCACAGTGAAGCATCCGATCCATTTCCGAGGGCTCACCTGCCGTCGTAGCCTCAACAGCAAGAAAAACCCACATCAACCGCAAGCCAACTTGACATGGGTATGGAAACACGTCTTTGAATCATGGAGTGTAGGTGCCATGGCAGCAGTTGAGGGGCACCAGGCAAAGCTGCTTGATGAAGAGTATGGTGATGAGAAGCTTGGCAGCACGACAGGCTTGCGCAGTCATGCTCAGCGCTGCTTCTGTTGCACTGACGCCTTTTCTGGCCGCCTGAAGGGGTTCCGACGACGAGGACGAGGATGAGGAGGAGCTGAAGGCCGACGTCAATTTTTGAGGTATTCGTTGCTGTGTCTGCAGAGTAGAAGCCTTCTGCTTGAACTCTTCAACTGCTGGAACTCAGGGATGTCCTCATGCCGATGCTTTGTTCGGCTCCGTGGCCGATCGGAGATCACTCGTCCACGTAATACAGCACTTCAGCAAGGAGACCCGGGGCTGTGAGACTGAAGTGCTTTTATTCTTGGCAGAAGCCAGAGCCCAATGGCAGGACAACCTGGCAGATGAAAGCCAGGAGTTCAGATTACAGGGAGGGGGGAGGGGGTTTGCTTCCCCATAAAGTGGCTCGTCTGCACGTCCGGCTTCGAGTGACTAGACCAAGGTGATGCGGTCGTTGCTGCCATCCGAATGGAGGCCCCGTGCTAAGCATGCTCTGGTAATGGCACCTGCAGCATCCGGAAGGCGTGAAGATGTGGTTTCAGGTGAAGCAGGTGCCAGCATTCCGGCGAATCCTAAACATCGTCTGGGACCTAGCGTCTGCGACTGAAAAGGGAAACGTCTTGTAACACACAGGTCCGCTGTACCAAACAGAGCTGTGCATCCCAAACGGTCATGTGAAGAACCTCACACTTCTGAGGTAAGCACCTGTGGGCTCTGGCTTTTGTTTCAACCGCGTGAAGACTCTGCATCAGTGCTTCTGACGAAGCGGGGTCGTTCTTCCCTCAGGTCACAGAATAAGCCGTTGGATCTGCAGAAGTCCGAGGGTCCGAGCTGAGGTTTCATCTGTTGGGGCCGTGGCCAGGAAGCGCAGCCAGGCGGGGAGATTCGCGATGGTCCAAGTCACGCTCTGGTGTCTTCCGAACCTTGTGGAGGGGCGGTGAGAGCCTACCTGGGCAATGCGAAGCCCTCAGCCCCGAGTGTCGAGGTCTTGAGCTGTTTCCCCGATCTTTCGTCCTTCTGCGAGGTCCTCTGCTTCCTTGCTCTGGTTTTCGCACTCGCCTTGACATGCACCGTCAGATGGTAAGCCTACAACCAACCTCCTGTTTGCTGACTCCATGTGATCATCCGAGGTTCTTGTCATCATGTTTTGGATCTGGGTTCTGCGGATTGAAGCATCGATGGTTTCGCGCGGACTGCTGCTGATCTTCAGCGCGGGGCCCTGCCTTTAGTCGAAGCCACTTCCACAGTACGCACGGGCACCTCCTGCCACTCATGGTTGAGAATGACGAAGGCATACTGGTGCTGGTTCTACTTCTCAGCTACGCCTGGGCACAGCGCCCTCGAAGGGACTGCGGAACGACCTTTCGGCAACACTTTGAAGTCAAGGACGGCCTGGCATGCCAGCACAGGGAATATCAGGGCCCGGAGCGACCTCCGGTGTTCTGCCCAGCGTAGGGCGCTGCTTTTCGCAGCGGCAGGAGCTTTGCGTTGGCACCTACACTCGCGTTGACGAGGCCGTGCCTGCAAGGGGCCCCTTACATCAGCTCACATCCAGAGGTAACATTAGTAGTTGAGGCCTGAAGTCAGCTGTGAAACCTGGCAGGGGAGGAGAATGGGACAGCTCTGTGCTCGTCGACGTCTTGGGCACTTGCAACTCTGCTTCAGTCACTCGATGCACTTGAGGTTGATCCTTTTGCTTTTATCCTTTTGGTTTTTCAATTTTTCGTTCGGGCACGTTTGATAACGGGATGGGTGGAAAAACTCAGGCCGTCTCTACCCAAAGCCGGAGATATTGACAGAACGGCTCCCGCCTGGTGCTCCCGGGTGCAGTGGGGTGCAACCTGTTCCAGGCCGCCTTCACAGCACTTGTCTCAGCAGCAAAACCTTCAGCTTGCTCCTACTGTCCAGAACTGCCAGCGGCGCTCGCTGGCGAGACTCGTCAGGTGGGGCCCGAAGGCTTTGTCGATGATTCTTTACCCCAAGATTTGCAAGCAGATGCAGCAAGGTGCAGAAAGAGAACATCGAGCAGGCTCCATGGCTGCATGAGAGCTTGGCTGATTCGTAGTTGGATTGCCCGAGGAAGGAGGTGTCAACAACGCCTTCTTGGCCCGCCTGGCAGCGGTGCTGGCGGTGCTTTCACTCATTGGTGCGATCTATGTTTCTCGGCTTTGCTGACCTGGCGTGCTTGGTGTGCACCTTCGCAGTAGCCATCCCGAGGATTACACATCTTTCTTGGACAAAGTCCGCATAGATTCGCAGCTGTGCATCAAGAAGGCCCAGAAGATAAAATTCTTGACTTCCCATAGAGCCCAGTGCCAATACCCTTATGTGTGGATTACATTGTAAATTGTATTATTAATAATTAAGTTTTCTTTTAAGATTTCAGGTATATATTCCTGAGTTAGAGTCTATTGGGCTATCTGGGTCAGTAATTTGTGAGTTGTCAGGTGCACGGTTGCAGCTGGCACGTAGACAACTCCCGCCTCTTGGGCAAAGTCAAACGTGTGGCGGGTGCGTTTCCACCTGCTGACTACACCAAAGGCCAGCTGCCTTTGTTGAAAAGGTAAGATGTGTGGATCACTTGGCGATGACTGTTGAGCTGCCGAATCCGAAGTCAACTTTCTGTTGAAAGGCGGTTGCAACAGCAATGGTGATTATTGCGATTATTTCCTGCGTCCCACCGACCATTGCGGC